GCCGCGCGCTCGTCCGTACGGCCGAGTCCTCGTCCGAGGGCGCCGATCCTCCGTCCGAGGGTCCGAGGGCGTCGGACGAGGGGGCGGCGCCCTCGTCCCGAGGGCGCCGAGGGCGCCGAGGGCGCCACCGACCCCCCTCAATCCTCCCCCCCCCCCCACGTAGCACGAGGTGTGCACCTTGACGTCAAAAACCAGAAGCATTTTCCATCGGCCAGCGTGATCCACCCCGAGTATCGACACATCACCACACAAGGTGCGCCCGAACCCAACCGTGCGTCCCTCGATCGGTGCATAACTTTGCAGAGCGACGCCGCGCGCGCGACGCCAGCGCGCGAAGAGCCGCGTCGCGACGTTCCCGCGCGCAGACACATGGCTGCCTTCGACATCAAGGGTGCGCTGGCCGGCAAGTGGAAGGCGACGGAGGTCGACAAGGGCGCCATGGAGGCGTTCCTCAAGGTCAAGGCCGTGCCCATGCTCATCGCCAAGGCGCTCACGCTCTTCGCCACCTCCGGCACCTTCGAGCTTAAGACCGCGCGCGGCGCCCGCGTCCCGCCGCGCGTTTCGCCGACCGCCGCGCGACCGCCGACCGCCGCGCGACCGCCGACCGCCGCGCGACCGCCGACCGCCGCGCGCAGGGACGACAAGTTCGTCAAGACGGAGCTCGGCATGTTCACGAACACGGAGTACCCCGCGGTCGCGCTCGACGGCGCGACGCTGACGGACCACAAGAACCCGGCGGGCGAGCCCATCAAGATGAAGGGCGCGATCGACGGCGACAAGCTCGTCATCACGTCCCTCGAGGGCACCTTCGACGGCACCGCGGGCGTCACGGAGACCTACGCCATGGACGGCGAGACGCTCGTCCTCACCATCGCGGACATCGCCACGGGCACGTCCTTCACGGAGAAGCGGTCCAAGGTATGAGCGGCGCCCGACGACGCGCCAAAGTCGCGCGTGAGTAGGAACGCCACCCCTAAGTATTAGGGGTGCACCAGTCTCGTCCGCGGTCGGGGGAAAGCCGCCCGCGTCAATCCTCGTAGAGGTCCACGGGCCCGTAGGCCGCGACGCCCTGGAGGTAGATGCCGGTCGTGGCGCAGAGGCAGAGCAGGCTGAGCGGGTGGTCGAAGCAGCAGAACAGGGACGCGACCCAGGCGACGAAGTAGTGGTGCAGGTGCACCGTGCCCTTGTTCGCGAGGACCGTGAGCGCGGACGCCGCGAGGAAGACGAGCACGCCGACGCGCGGCGCCGCGTAGTACTTGAGGCCGAGCGCGCCGTAGGGCTTCGTGCGCCAGGCCGCGCGGAGGTGGAAGCCGAGGCCGAGCGCGAGGAGGCCGCCGAAGCACGCGAGCGTGGCGGCGAAGAGCGGGCTCCAGTTGCTCGAGTCGGTGGAGAGGGACGAGTGCTCGCCGCGGAGGTCGGAGAGCAGCGAGAAGCCGACGCCGCTCAGGAAGATCAGCGCGACGAAGACGGCGGATCGCCACGGGCTCCCGAAGACGATCTTCGACCGCGTCGCGCTCGTGATGCGCACGAAGACCGACGACGCGATGGAGTAGACGACGACCTCGTCGAGGGACGCGCAGAAGAACCTCGCGTTCGACCAGCCCGCCACCGCGTCGCCGGGCGCGCCGAGGTTGCACGCGACGCGCTGCGCGCCGTAGACGACGACGTTCGTCGCGACCCAGTAGCACAGGCGCATGAGCATCTGCGACTCCCTCACAAAGTCCTCGCGGTCGTTGTTCCCGAGCAGCGACTCGAGCGAGACGTCGTCGTCGTCCGCCGCCGCGTCGTCGACGCCGGCGCCGTCGAGCAGGCGCGCGTACCGCGCGCGGGACGGCGGCGGATCTTCCGCGTCGGGAAGGAGCGGGGCCGTGGCCCAGTCCGGATCGGAGCGGCGGGGCGACGAATCCATTCCGCGCGACGTGTGGATCAGGCCGGCGAATTCGGCGCGAGGTGTGCCGGCGTATTCGACCGTCCCGGATCACGTTCGGCGATCAGGGGGCGGCGAATTCGGCGCGATGTGTGCTAGGGCTGGCGTATTCGACCGTCCTGGATCACGGTGGGCAAGTCAGGGACGTCACGGCCCGCGAACGCCCAAAGCGCGGCGAATTCGCAAGCCACAAAACTAAATTTTTGTCAAGATGCAGCGAGCACGGGCGCCGTCGAGGGCCCCCAAGTGCCAGGCAGGCGCGTAGGCGGGGTCGTCGCCTAATGCGCTAGAGAGAGAGTGCCCGCGCAAGGTGCGTAGGGGGTGCGTCGCCTAATGCGCGAGAGAGAGAGAGCTCTCGAGAGTCGACTCACTTGCGCCTCGCGAGGTCGCACGCCTCCTCGGAGGCGTCCCGGGCTCCCCCCACGTCGGCCCCCTCGCGCGACGGGGAACCTCCCCGCCGAGCGGGGAAGCCACACACGGAGCCGCCTAGCACCAGGACGCGCGCTTCGCGCGGCACGTCGCGTTGTTCTTGCGGACGAGCTCGTGGTACTTCTTCCGGCTGAGGGCGGCGAGCTCCTGGGCGTTGCGGTGCCCCGCGGGCCGCGAGATGTCGTGGCCGATGTGGTGCTGGAGGCGGCGGAGGAGCTGCGTCCGGCCCTCCTTGGACACGCGGAGCGCGTCCGGCCGCTCGTCGACGGGCGGCAGCCGCGCCGTCGCGACCGTGGCGCCCTCGCCGCCGAGGTCCAGGGTGTGGACGGAGTCGCGCGCGAGGGACCGCGCCGCGTCGAAGCCCGGCCGGCCGCGCGCGCCGCGCGCGAGGTCGCCCGACGGCGCCCGGAGCCCGCCCGACTGCGCGAGGAGCGCGCGGACGCGCGGCGCCGCGGGCGCGGGGAAGAGCGCCCGCAGCGTCGGCGACGTCGCCGCCGTGCGGCCCCTCAACCGCGCCGCGCGGTCCGTGGCGAGGTCGACGGCCGCGCGCGAGAAGCGGTCGCCGTGCGTCGCGGACACGAACTGCGAGTGGTAGTTCTGGGGGTCGAAGAGCGAGGCCAGATGGTCGTGGAACGTCGCCAGCATGAGCTCGCCGTCGGCGCCGGCGAGCGCGAACCACCGGTACGCGCCGACGAAGAGCCGCCTGGGCGGCACTCGCGTCTTCCACCCGACTTCCGCGCGCGCGTCGTCGAACGGCTCGGTGCAGCCTCTTTCGGCCGCGCTTCGAAAATTTCAACGAGAGCCATCGCTTCGTCCAAACATCAGCCGAATCGACGTCGATGTGACCGAGCTCGAGCATGTCAAAGTGTGGTCGGCGCGTCCCGAACCGGCGGTCGACGTCCGCGCGGAGCGCCGCTCGATCGCGCACCGGAGCGCGAGGTGGAGCACGGGCGCGAGCACCGTGTCGACGTGCTTGCTCGACGACCGCATCTCCGCGTGGATCTGGGCGTGGCAGCTCAGCACCTCCGTGAAGAGCGCCTCGCGCTCCCTGTCGCTCGGGCCCGCGGCGGCGCCGCCGCCCGGCGGCGCGAGGCCCTCGAACTCGGGCCGCAGCACGGACCAGTAGAGCAGGTGGCAGACGAGGCCGACGAAGCGCACGACGCTCCGCTCCGTGAGCTTCTTCCGCAGCGCGTCGAGCTCCTTGGGCGGGATGCCCCGGGGCGGCGCGAACGCGCCCGCGCCGTCGCCCGGGTCCCGGCGGAACGCGAACTGGCCTGCGAACAGCGATGCACCGTCGCTTCGACGTGGGCGCGCCGCGCGCGCGCGTGCCGGAAGAAGCGGCCACGCGTCGAGAGCGCGCCGAGGGACGATCGCTCGTCCGAACGTCGGCCGAAACGCGCGGACGACGACCGAGCGAGGCGCCTTCGACGTCGGGCGCGTCGCGCCCGCGTCCCGCCCCGGAACCGGCGCACGAAGCTCTCCTGGGCCATCTCCACCTCCGGGAAGCCGAAGCTCGGCGGCACGAGCAGCTCCGCGGCCGCGAGCTCCGCCGGCGTCGGGCCGTCGCGCATCTCGTCCGCGGCCGCGCGCGCGAGCGCCGCGCCGGCGTCGCGCGCCGCGCGCCGCGGCTCGGGGCCGGCCTCCGCGCCGCCCTTGGCCGGCGCCGGCTCGTCGATGGCGAGGTCCTTGTCGAAGACGCCGACGATGGCGTCGACGGCCGCCGTGGCGGCGTCGCCGAGCTCCACGTCGGGCTTCGCCGCCGGTTTGAAGCTCCGCTGGAGGCTCGCCCGCCCCTCGGGGCTCTCGCCGCCGCTCGCCGTCTTCCGCGGCGACGGGCTCGACGTCGTCGCCGTCTTCCGCGGCGACGGCGCCGACGCGAGCATGGCTCGGAGGTTTCTTCTCCCCAGCAGCGCTGCCCCGCGCGGAGAGCGGATACGTTCACCTTGACGACGACACCCTCGGACCTTGCACCTCTTGCCACAATCTCTTGCCACGCGATGATGCTCGTCGCTCGACGCGCCCTGCAGCGCTCGCAGCGCAGGACCATCTCCCTCGCCGCGCGACCGCCGCACCGCGCGACGGCGCTCGCCGCAACACACAACTTTCTGCACCACCACAGCGCACCATCCGCGCCGCGACCGCCAAACGCCCGCACGCTCACCACAGAGAAACCGCAAGAACCGGAACCGCCGCGCAGCAAGCTCGCCGCCTTCGCCGCCCTCGCGCGCGTCGACGCGCCCGCGGGGACCCTGTTGCTCTACTGGCCCGGCGCGTGGTCGATCGCGCTCGCGGCGCCGCCGGCCGCGGCCCCCGACGCGTCGCTCCTCGCGCTCTTCGGCGTCGGCGCCTTCGTCATGCGCGGCGCGGGGTGCACGATCAACGACATCTGGGACCGCGACGTCGACGGCGCCGTCGCGCGGACGCGGCGCCGGCCGCTCGCGAGCGGCGAGCTCGGTGCGCCCGAGGCGGCGGCGTTCCTCGCAGGGCAGGAAAAGGGTGATGCAACGTCGCTTCAACGTGAGTGTTCCGCGCGCGCGCGTTCCGGCAAAAGCATCCACGCGTCGAGAGCGCTCCCAGAGATGATCGCTCGTCCAAAAATTAGCCGAAACGAGTGGAAAATGGCCGAGAGAGGCGCCTTTGAAGTTGGGAATGTCGCACCCTTTTCCCGCCCAGGTTCCTCGCCGCGCAGCTGTGCCTGGGCCTGGGCGTGCTGTCCCAGCTGAACTGGGCGAGCGTCCAGCTCGGCGCGGCGAGCGTGCCGCTCGTGCTGGCCTACCCGCTCGCGAAGCGCGTCACTATGATGCCGCAGGTCGCGCTGGCGCTGACGTTCAACTGGGGCGCGCTGCTCGGCTACTGCGCGGCGACGGGCCACGTCGACTACGCCGTCTGCCTGCCCCTCTACGGCGGCTGCGCGGCCTGGACCCTGCTCTACGACACGCTCTACGCGCACCAGGACAAGCGCGACGACGCGAAGCTCGGGCTCGGGTCGTCCGCGCTCGCGCTCGGCGACGCTTCCACGCCGCCGTTCCTCCGCGCGTGCGGCGCCGCGGCCGTCGGCGGCCTCGCGGCGGCGGGCTGCAACGCGGGGCTCGGCGACGTCGCGGCCGCGTGGCCCTTCTACGCGTCGCTCGCCGTCTTCGCGTCGCACCTCGCGTGGCAGGTCGAGACCGCGGACCTCGGCGACCCGGAGAACCTCGCGGCCCGCTTCAAGTCGAACGCGGCCGTCGCGCCCGTCGTCCTCCTCGGCATCGCCGCCGCGACGGCGAACCTCCCGCCGGGGGCCGCCGCCTAAGCGAACGGGGGTATTAGCGGGGACGCGGGCCTCTACTTGCCGCAGAAGCCGAAGCGCACCTCCTCGAAGGTCGCGTCGGGGGGGCTGCCTTCGCGGAAGCGCGCCGACGCCTCGGATTCCGGCGACCGGTCGCTCGGCCCGCCGGCGGGGCCGGAGACGAGCCCCCTCTTCTCGTCGGCGATGCGCTTCTTCTGGAATGCCAACGGGGTTTCCGGGCCGCGCTTGGAGGCCAGCACGGTCCGCTTCCACCGCTCGAAGTTCCGCCGGAGCTTGCCGACGTCGGAGAACAGGTTCATCGCGACGATGTTCCCGTCGAAGTGCATCTTGATGTTCTCGAGGATCAACTCCGTCTCGACCTCGGCGCGGTGCCGCTGGCGGAGGTTGTCCATGCGCCGGTCGTGGACGAAGCCGAGGCAGAGCGCGGCGACGAGCACGACCGCGTAGAAGACGAAGAAGGCCAGGTTCAGGCGGAAGAGTTGCGCGCGCACGCCCGTGTGGTCGCTGCCGGAGATGTCCGCCGGCCCCTGGCGCGGGAAGAAGCAGATGGCCATCTGGACCGCGTAGAAGCACGGGAGCAGGAGCCGCCGCGCCTGCGCGCGAATCAAAGGTTCGACCCGACTTCAATGTGAGCGTATTCGACGGTTTCGACACGCGCTCTTCAAAAGTGCTTCGAGAACTCGACGAGAGCAATCGATGCGTCCAAAAAGCAGCCGAATCGACTTCGATGTGACCGAGCGAGAGAATTTCAAAGTTCGGTCGGGACGTCCCGAACCGGCGGTTGATTTCCACACGGCGCCGCGCCCAGCGGTCGATCCAGAAGGCGTCGAGGCCGCCGTAGACGAAGTTGAAGATGAAGAAGCCCAAGCGGTGCGCCATACTCTTGCGCTGGATCCGGTCCTGGTACGCGAACACCTTGATGACGTACTCGTCGTCGCCGCCGTGCGACATCGTGTAGCGGTTCATGCGCGCGGAGTGGACCGTGAGGACGAAGGAGAAGAACTGGAAGCAGAGCATGATCGCGAAGTAGTAGTCGAGCCACGTCGTCTCCGACGTGACCTTGGCGTCGTACATCATGAACTGGGCCGCGAGGATCGTCGTGATGGCGAGGCCGCTCCGGTCGATGCCGCTGCCCTCGACGGGGATCCAGAAGACGAGGAAGCCGACCATGTTGAAGGCCCAGCCGACGAGCACGTAGGTGCCGACGACGTAGGACGGGTCGCGCTCGAACTTGATCTCGAAGGACACGCGCGACGACGCGAAGCCCTTGATCGTCGCGTCCTCGTAGTAGTGGTCGATGCCCGACGCCTCCGGGTCCACGAAGCCCTCGGGCCCGTCGGCGATGGTGAAGCCGAGGCTGCCCATGAGCACGACGTCCGTGAGGGGCGCGGAGACGGCGACGTCGAAGGAGCAGTCGTGCGCGTCGTAGGGGTAGGGCTTGATGTTCATGTCGCAGACGAAGTCGCCGACGGCCTGGAAGACGACGCGCACCGTGCCGTCGGGCGAGATCGTCGCCGGGAGGAGCTTGATGGTCTGCGCAACGGCGGACGTGACGATGTTCGCGACGTAGACGTCCGGCGTCCAGATCGTCTCCGCGTCGACGCGGAGCGAGCCCGCGTAGATGTTCGCGTCGAAGGCGAGGCGCGGGTCGGCCCACTCGAGCGTCATCCAGGACGTCGCCGTGAAGCCGCCGCCGGCCGTGTCGATGCCCTCGACGGCGACGTCGTGGAGGCCCACGGCGACGACCGTCGGCGCGACGTCCTTGTCCGCCTCGGGCTTCGCGCGGACGCCCGGCTGGTAGCCGCTGAGCAGGTCGTCGATGACGAAGCCCTCGGCGTCGGCGAACTGGCAGGACGCCTCCGTGTCGAACCGCGTGTCGTCCGTGCGGAAGAACGCCTGCACGTCCGCCGTCGTGTTGAGCTTGAAGCCCTGGACCGTGTCGATGAAGTTGACGACGGACTGCCAGACGCCCATGCCCGCGGTCGACATGTACTGGTCGCCCGACGCGACCTGCAGCTGCTTGGTCAACAGCCAGTCCTCCGTCCAGTCGAAGCCGCCGATGATGAGGTTCGCCGCCTTCGCGGGCGACAGCGCGCGGTCGATGGCCTTGAGCGCGCCCTTGATCATGCGGTCGTTCGCGGCGAGGATCGTCGTGATCGACGAGTCCTTGACGAGCGCCGCGTAGGCGTACGCCTCGGCGAGGTCCTCCCTGAAGAGCGCGCGCTCCGCGGCGACGACCTCGACGGTCGCGCCGCAGACTTCCTCGAGGTAGTCCGTGTTCGCGTCGACGCGGTTGTCCGCGTAGGGCGCGCCGTAGAGCTTGAGCACCTTGTGCCGGAAGGCGGCGCCCGACGTCGTCCGGCAGATCTCCTTCGCGACGACCTGCGCCGCCGTCGTCGTGTCCGGGTTGAACATCCACGCCAGCGCGGTCTCGTTCGTGATGCCGTAGGCCGCCGTGTCGATGGCCTCGGCGAGGAAGAAGGCCGCCCCGCCGGCCTCGAGGAAGCTCGCGTAGTGTGCCGCGCCGTGGCGGTGCGGCCCGACGACGACCGCGGCCTCGGGCTCGTCGCCGACGGCCGCCAAGATCGCGTCGAGCGCCTCGCCGACCTCGTCGTCGGACTCGGCCTGGTACGAGGCCTCGTAGTCGAAGGTCGCCTCGAAGGCGAGGCGCACGGGGCCCCAGAAATCTTGGATGCTTTCTTCCTTGGGGAAGAGCCCGAAGATGCGCGACAGGCGCACGGGCGCCGCGGACGCGGCGGCGACGAGCAGCGCGCCCGTCGCCAGCGATGCCATCGCTGACCTGGCGGGCTGCCCCCCGACGCGGTCGGCGGGACGGCTCGAGAAGAAACGAGTCCCTGCCAAAATGTGGAATGCAGAAAGATATGATGTTGAACCCGAGCAGGCACTTCCGCAGCCCCTCTCACGATGGAACATCCCGACGGGGTGCGCGTCGTCGCGCCCGCCGCGGCGCCCCCCGCCGGCGCGGCGGCTCGGCGCGGCACGCCCGCGAAGAAGAAGCGCCAGTCCGTGTTCCTGCACGCGACCTGGGACGCCGAGGACGAGTTCAGCTGCTTCATCGACTACGCGACGATCACGGAGAGCTCGCTGCGCACGATCCTGCTCGAGGTCTACTCCGAGGCCGCCGTGAAGCGCATGAAGACCATGAAGCAGCTCGTCGCCGCCGCGCGCAAGCAGAAGGTCCACGAGGAGCGGCTCCGGGGCAGCGACGCGCTCCGCTACCGCGCGGGCACCGTCGTGTCGTTCCTCCAGCGCCTCGAGCACGTCGTCCCCGACGCCCGGGGCGCCCTCGGCTCCGTGACCCTCGTGCGCCGCGCGGAGTGGGCCATCGTGTCGCGCGCGGCGAAGGGCAGCCCCGTCAAGGTCGGCTCCGTCGTCGCGGCCGTCGACGGCGAGACGACGCTGCTCAACGGCTGGGACGAGACGCTGGGCCTGCTCACGGCCGTGCAGGGGCTCGGGAGCCCCAAGCCCTGCACCTTCCGCTGGGCGCCCTTCCACAGCGGCTACGTCGAGGTCACGGAGGTCGGCGGCGCGCTCCAAGCCGCGGCCGTGTTCCTCGTGCTCGCGTACGGCGTGCTCGCCTACTTCGACCGCGAGGAGCAGCCGCGGCGGCGCCTCGGGTCCATGCCCCTCCACGACGTCCACGTGGCGCCCCTCGCGTCCCGGCCGGGCCCGGGCGGCCGCGGGCCCGTCATCGAGCTCCGGAACGGCCGCGGCGACGCGCTCCACTGCCGGCCGCCGCCGGAGGCGCCCCAGTACCGGCCCATCGTGCCCCTCATCGACCTCGCGGCGCTGCTCAGCGTCGCCGTGGGCCACGCGAACGGCGACGACGACCTCCGGGCCCTGGAGATGCTCCGCGTGCGCAAGGGCGGCATTCGGGCGGACTCGTTCGCGCGCGCGCGCGCGCAGTCCGCGGCGCCGGCGTCGCTGCGCGACTCCTGCAGCGGCCTCGAGGGCTTCGAGGACTGGGACGAGGAGTCCGCGGCGGCCGCGGAACCGGCCGCGGAACCGGCCGCGCCGGCCGCCGCGGCGCCGCGGCGCCGGTCGCGGCGCGTCTCGGTGCGCGCGGGCGGCCTCGCGTCGGACTCGGACGGCGACACGGACGAGGACGACGACTTCGCGCTCGGGGGGCTGCAGGTCGAATCGTTCCAGAGCCTCGCGGGCGCGGCCGACGCCGACGCGGCGCCGGGCGGCGCGCCCGCGGCCGGCGGCAAGCGGCGGTCCCGGGGCTCGATCCTCTTCATGGGCTTCGTCGGCGGCGAGGGCGTCGCCGCGGCGGACGCGCCCGCGGCGCTGCCCAGCGTCGGCGAGGAGGGCGAGGCCGACGACGACGGCGGCCCGGCGGCGCCGGGCGGCGGCGCGGAGGAGGACGAGGACGACGACGAGGACGAGGACGACGACGACGACGACGACGAGGGGGGCTTCGGCCTCGCGGGGCTCACGGTCGTGGGCGGGTTTCGGGAGAGCGACGACGCGGCGAAGACGTCGTCCGACGGCCGCCGGTCGCGCGGGAGCGTGCTCTTCTCGAACTTCACGGACGTCGCCGAGGCGAACGCGCCCGCGCCGCCGCCGCCGATCCCCGAGGACAGCGCGGCCGCGGCGCCCGCGGCCGGCGGCGGCGAGGAGGCGGCCGCGGCGCCCGCGGCCGGCGGCGGCGAGGAGGCGGCCGCGGCGCCCGCGGCCGGCGGCGGCGAGGAGGCGGCCGCGGCGCCCGCGGCCGGCGGCGAGACGCCGAAGAAGCACCGCAAGGTCGTGCGCAAGGTCGTGCGCCGCGTCCACAAGCACGGCGCCGACGACCCGCCGCCGCCGCCGGACGCGCCGCCCGGCGACGGCGGCGACAAGCCGCGGCGCGTCGTCCGCCGCGTCGTCCGCCGGTCCGGCTCGTCCGGGTCCGCGGCCGGCGAGCCGGGCGGCGCCGAGTCGCCGCCGCCGTCGCCCGGCGAGCCCGGGTGCCGCGACCCGCCGGAGGAGGCCGGCGGCGCGAAGGTGCGCCGCGTCGTGCGCCGCGTGCGCCGCGGCTCGAGCGACGCGTCCCTCGCGGGCGGCGCGTCGCCCGGCGCGGGCGAGCCCCTCATCGTCGACGGGAAGAAGGTGCGCCGCGTCGTGCGCCGCGTGCGCCGGTCCAAGTCGGACGCGGACCCCGCGGACGCCGCCGCGCTTCCTCAGGACGGCTAGGAATCGCGCCTTAGGCGGGGCCGCCGCCGCCGCCGGCGGAGGGCGAGCGCGGCGCCCCCCGCGAGGAGGAGGAGCAGGTCCAGGGGGAGCGCGAAGAGCGGGCCGCGGTCCGCGGAGCCGAAGCAGGACCCGTCGTCGCAGCGCGGCCGCGCGCTGATGAGGTGGGCCTCCGTCGTGAAGACCCAGTCCTCGAGCGGGTAGTAGTCCCGGTCCGAGAAGAGCAGGTAGAGGTACTTGAGCGTCTCCGCGAGGAAGAAGGACGGCATGTCGTCGTCGCGGCCGCCGCGCTCCGCGGAGACGTCGTTTAGCCCCGCGAAGCCGCCGCCGGGCACGCGGCACCGCGCGACGAGCGCCTCGAAGAAGGCCCAGCCGCGGCGCCGGTAGACGTCGTCGCCCGTGACGCGGTAGAGCACGAAGAGCGACTCGACGTACTCGGGCCGGAGGCCGTAGCGCGGGTCCACGGCCGCCGCGGCGCCCGACGCTTCGTCGACGCGCGACAGCTCGGGCCCGAGGCCCGTCGCCGCGTGGAGCCGCGCCTGGGCGGCACAAGAGAGATTCAACGTCGCTTCAACGTGAGTGTTCCGCGCGCGCGCGTTACCGAAAAAGCATCCACGCTTCGAGACCGTTCCGAGAGATGATCGCTCGTCCAAAAATCAGCCGAAACGAGTGGAAAACGGCCGAGCTAGGAGCCTTTGAAGTTGGGCATGTCGCTCTCTTGTGCCGCCCCGGCCGCGCGTCGCTCTCCGCGAGCTCCGCCGCGAGCGCGAGGAGCCGCCGCTTCGCCTCCGTGTCGCCCCAGGGCGCGGCGCTCCCGAGCGCGAGGAGCCCCGGCGCGAAGAACGCGAGGTGCTCCTTGAGCCGGCCCCGCGGCGCGACGACGTCCGCCGTGCCCGCGCGCGACCGGTGGACGACGTCCGCGACGCGGTCGCGGCCGCGCGCGCCGTCGAGCAGCGCCGCCGCGAGCCAGTCCCAGAGCTCCGCCTGGCGCGTCGTCGAGCCCGCGGCGCCCCGCAGCAGCTGCTCCTTGAGCAGGTACTCGTAGAACGAGTCGCCGCCGGAGCCGAGGCCCGCGCGCGACGCGGGCCGGTGCTTCTCGAGGCAGCCCCGCCTCCGGCCCAGCGCCGGCGGCACCTCGTAGAACTTGGGCACGAGCTTCTGCGACGCCGCGCCGCCGTCGGCCGCCCAGCGCACGTAGGCCGCGTCGAAGACGCGGTCCGCCCGCTCCAGGAGGTCCGGCGCGCGGCCGTCGCGCGCGATGGCCCGGAACTCGAGGCCGAAGGACCCGAAGCCCGCGAGCGACGCGCAGAGCACGCCGCCGTCGAAGACGCTGCGGACGCCGTCGAGCGCGCCCAGGACCAGCGCCGCGACGGGCGCGGTCCGCGGGTGCGCGAGCCGCGCGTAGGGCCGCGGCGGGCCTCGAACCGGGAACGCGGCCGCGACGGCCTCGGCCGCGTGCCTCGCCGCGCCCAGGAGCCGCCGGTCGCCCGAGACCTCGAAGGCGCCCAGGAGGCCGCCGACGACGCGCAGGTGGTACTCGAAGACCTTCACGGGGCGGTACGGCGTCGGCGCGCCGCGGCCGAGCGGGTCCCGCCAGCTCGGCGCGAAGACGCGCGCGACGGCGCGGTCGTAGTCGTCCCGGAGCCCGCAGACGTAGAGCGCGTCCAGGCTGTCGTAGAGCGTCGCGGAGACGCCGAGCCAGTCGAGGCCCCCGCCGGAGACGGGCCTCAGGTCGTCGCGCGGGCTCGCGCGCGCCTCCCACGCGCGGAACGCGCCCCGGAGCGCGGCCGCGACGGCGGCGGCGCGCGCGGGCCAGTCCTCGGCGCCGCCGGTTTCGGCCGGCGGCGCGTCGCCGTCGACCCAGTCGTCGACGGGTACGACGCGCGCGGGGCTCGCGGCGCCGTCGCAGCGCAGGAGCTCGAGCTCGAAGACGAGGACGGAGCCGCCGGGGATCCTGTCCCGCACGGGCCGCGGGCCGTAGCCCAGGTCGGGCGGGCACGCGAGCTCCCAGACGGACCCGACGGTCATGAGCGGCATCGCCTCGCGCCAGCACCCGATGACCTTCGACGCCGCGAACGTCGACGGCCGCCGCTTCAGGCGCGTGCCGTCGAAGCTCGGGCCGTCCGGCCAGTCGCCGCTCAATTTGCCGTCGTAGGCCACGTCGCACGCCGCGTCGAGCGCCGGCGAGCCGCCGAAGCCGTAGCGCTTGACGCGGTAGAGCAGGCCCGACGGCCGCGCGACGGTCCCGGCGCCGCGCGCGTAGGCCGCGAGGAACGACCGCTGCGCGTCGTCCAGCGCGCGCGCGTGCGCGACGAGCAGCAGCAGCGCTCTCATCTCAGAGCGCCGTTGCTCGCAGCAGCAGCGCGTTCAGTGGTCGTTTTTGCGATGCCCATTGATTGGCCAGAACTGCAACAAACCTGACTTGGGTCCTTGTTTCCCCTTCACTGAGGCAGGTAGCAGCTTTTTGTGAATCCTCGTCGGGCCGCCGAAAGCCCCGAGAGGTGACTGGACCGTGGACACCGTCGAACTGTCGCTCGTCCCCGCCATGGCATCCTTCGAGGAGTCGAAGCAGCGCAAGGCCGACATCGTCGTGGCGTCGGCGGAGAAGGTGCCCGACCCCTGGAAGGGCTACGTCGTCAAGGCTGCCCCGGTGCTCGGCGCCGTCGGGGCCGGCGTGGAGCTGGCCATGCCCTACGTGTCCAAGGCCTACGACAAGGGCCTGGAGCTCTGGGAGCTGCTCCAGCCCTACCACCCGGAGGACATGGCCTGCGTCTTCTTCGGCCTCTTCATGTGCTTCTTTGGGGGCGAGTTCCCCGCGCTCATCACGGCCATCGAGGCGTACCGCCAGGTGGGCTTCGAGCCGACGTGGCGCGCCCTCAAGATCCTCAAGGCCGACTTCGACACCGTCAAGGACGCGAGCCTCGAGGACGACAAAAAGGACGAGGACGGCGACGGCGTCGCGGACGTGCAGCAAATCTCCGCGTCGGACCTCGTCGAGCGCAAGGCGCTGCTCTTCCTGCGCACGTCGTCGCCGGAGACGACGACGGAGGCCATCCAGTCCATCTCCGCCGGCGCCCTCGCCGTCGTCGCGTCGCTCAAGGTGTCCTTCGCGCGCGCGATCACGCTCGGCGGCGCGATCGGCGACGTGCTCCGGAAGCCCGCGCTCCGCTACGCGCAGCCCGTGCTCAAGAAGTGCATCGACGAGGACTACCACAAGTGGATCGTGCCGGGCATCACCTACGTCTGCAAGTCCGTCGCCATCTCCATCGCCTGGACCATCCAGCGCGTCATCTCCGCGTTCCACAGCGCCGTCCGCGGCGGCCAGCTCGCGGGCAAGGGCGTCGTCCACTACCTCCACAAGTACGGCTTCATCGACGTCAACGAAGACGACACCTACGCCGACGAGGCCGTGGGCTACGGCCTCGCCGTCGCCGGCCTGCTCATGCAGATCAGCATGGGCTTCAAGCTCCCGTTCCCGCTCAACGTCCTCCTGCTCCCGCTCCGCATGACGGAGTGGGCCATCGTCTGGACCATCATGGACTAGGGGGCCCGCCGGACCCGCCCCGCCCCTTTTGCGCCCGCTGTTTTGACGCCCCCACGTATATATGATCACCGCGAACGGCCGCGCCCGTTCACTGGAAGACGAGGCAGGAGTACATGACGCAGGCGAACGAGGCCGTGGAGCCGTAGGCGTGGCCGAGCTCGGGCCCGCCCGTGATCCCGAAGAGCGGCGCGGAGCCGAGCGCGCAGGCCATCTTGTCCGAGACGTCCTGCATGCCCTCGTCGCCGCCGAGGATCGCGTTGATCGCGCAGGAGAACGTGAAGGCGCCGCGGATGTCGTCGGTGCCGACGGACTGCTTCGCGCAGACGCGCTTCGCGGCCTCGTGCGTCTTCGAGCAGATCGTCGCCCGGTCGACGTGCTGCGGGAAGAGGACCTCGCCCTCCTCGACGTCGACGCCCGGCAGGAACTGGAGCTCGCCGCCGTGAATGCCCATGACGCAGACCATGACGACGCCCTCCGAGCGCTCGATGCCCATGGGGTTCGTGGCGCTGTGCGCGAACGCGGGCGCGCTCGCCAGCGGCGGCTGGTTCGCCGGGTCGTCGACCCAGGGCGCGAGCGCCGCGGCGTCCTCGGCGTCGAGCCAGCTCCGCCAGACCTCGGACGCGGGACGGTGGTCGATGGTCTTCACGATCAGCCCCCCCTCCTCGGGCCTGGACAGCGACGTGATCACGCCCGCGCTCGCCGCGGCCTTGGGGCTCGCGGCGGCGCCGGGCGCGAGCGACGCGCGCCGCGCGGCCCCGTCGTCCGCGCCGGGCTTGGGCCCCGCGCCGGACACGAAGGCCGACGCGCAGACCGCCGTGGGCCAGCAGAGGAGCAGCGCGACGCCGCTCGGCGCGCACGCGTCGCGGTCGCCGCCGCCGGGCGACGCCGCGACTCCCGGCGGGTTCGCCAGCGAGCACGAGCCGCCGACGAGGTGCGCGTCCTCGCCGAGCGCGGCCTGGATGCCCGCGAGGCACGTCGTCTCCGTGCCGTACGTCGTGAGCACGATGGACACGGCCGGCGGCTCGGTCCGGCCCGACCGCGCCGCGGCCGCGGCGACGCGTTCCCGGACGACGTCGGGCGACGGCGCCTCCGAGTAGACGACCTCGTACGAGCCCTCGGGGTCGCAGATGCCCATGAGCGCGATGGCGGCGCCCCCGACCCACTGGCTCTCGACGGCGACGCCGAAGGCCGACGTCGTCGCGAGGACCTTCGTCTCGCGCCCCAGCGCGCGCGGGCCCTCGCGGAGCCTCGCGAGGCATTCCCCGAGGTCGTAGGGCGACGGCCGGCCCGGGTCGCCGCCGCACACGGCGACGACGACGACGTCGGGCACGGCGCCGCCGAGCTTCGACGCGAGCTGGCGCAGCGCGGCCTCGGTCGCGCCCGCCGTGTCCGCCTTCGTCGACTTGGCGACGCCGACGCGCACGGCCGCGGCGCGGTTCGCGACGGTGCGCGACGACGCCGCGTGGGCCAGGGGCGGCCGCTCCGCGACGCGCTTCTCCGCGAGCGCGCGGCGCACGGCCTCCAGGAGGCGCAGCTTGCTCTCCGTCCGGTAGTCCTTGTTGTAGTTGATGGCCTGCTTCGCGAAGACGTGCGGATGGCCGCCGCACCATTTTTTGATGGCGTCCCAGCGGTGGCGGTCGCCGTCGTCTGCGAGGGGCGCGGGGAGTGTCGCTCCGACGCGAGACGCGGAAACGCGGGCGCGCGCAGATGGGCACGATGGGCCGCCCCGCCGCCGCGGCCCACCGATTTTCCCGCACGCACCAGACGCTCTCGAAGGTGTAGGGGTCGAGCACCGTGACCAGGCATTTCGACCGCTTCACGCTCCGTTCCAGCGCCTCGGCGGAGATGTCCGTCAGATCCGAGCGGTCGAAGAAGACCTAAGTGCAAATCTTCAACGTGAGCGTATGCGACGGTTTCGACGCGAGCTCTTCTACCGTGAGCCCCGCGCCCTCGCAGACGTCGGCGACCCAGACCGCGCGGTCCTCGGACGCGTCCAGGCGCTTGCAGTGGCTCACGAAGACGTCGTAGGTCGCGTCGTCGTCCTCCGCGTCGTCGTCGAGCTCCGACGCGCGCGACGCGAGCGCGGCCGTGGACCCGTCCTCGCTCGCCTCCTCGTCGATGGTGTCGTGCCGGCGCAGGGCCGCGCCCGCGGCGCCGGCGAGCGCGGCGCCGGCGAGGCGCTCGTCGCCGCGGCCGACGCTCCGCGGCACGAGGTCCGCGCGGTGCGCCGCCGGCTCCGGGTGGGGCGCGGGCTCCGGGCGAGGCGCCGCCTGAGCCCGGGGCGCCGCGGGCCGCGTCGCCTCGAGCAGCGGCGGCTCCGCCCGGGCCGCCTCGAGCACGGGCCGCGGCGCGGCGCCGGCGAGCGGGGGCAGGTGGCCGCCGAGGCTGATCGTCCCGTGGAAGATGTCGAGCACGGGCTGCGCGCCGAGGCGCTGGAGCTCCACCAGCGTCTGGGCCACAAACTCGGGCGAAATGCTGCCCATATTCGCGGTCGGGCTGCGTTCTTGCCGTCAAACTTCTGCTCGGCGGCCATCAACACCAGCTATTCGAGTGATGGGAGAAGCGATTTGACGCAGCCCTTTGACGACGAACGTCGCCTCTATGGTGTTTAACTACTCCCCGGCTCTGGCGTGTGCGCTTGATTCGGTCGAACAGGGGGAGGTTGCGGAGGTCGCACGCTGGCTCGAATCGAGCCAGGTGGCTGTCGACGACGTTTCTCCGGATGGCTCGACGATGCTCACGACTGCGGTCATCGAAGGTCAATGCGGCGTGGTCCGGCTCCTTCTCGCCCGTGGCGCCGATCCGAATCTCGCACTGGACGACGGCGGCGAAACGCCGCTGTTCCTCGCGGACGACCCGCGCATCATCGATCTGCTCGCGGCGCACGGCGCGGACGTCGACGACGCGGGCGAAGGTGGAGAGACGGCGCTCATGGAGAAAGCTCGCGCGTGCGATCTCGACGCGGTGCGCGCGCTCCTGAGAAACGGCGCGGAGCCCTCGCTCCGCGACGGACACGGGCGGACCGCGCTCGACGCGGCGAAGCGGAGACTCGCGCTCACCCTGCAGGTCCCGCCGCTCATCCGGACGGCGGAAGGCACGTGGACCCCGGCGGCCGCGCGACGGACCGTCCGCGCGATCGTCGACCTGCTCGCGGCCGTCGAGTTCGCCGGGTCCTGGGCGCGCTACGCGCGCGAGCCCGTCGTCCAGCTGCGGGCGCTGCGCTACCTCTGCCTGGCCGGCCGCGCGACGGCGCCGCCGAACCTCGTCCGCTGCTTCGGAAGCCCGCCGATCCCGAACGCCGGCAAGGCCCGAACGCGCGCGCGCCGCGCCGCGACCGTGTCGCTGCCCGAGGAGCTTTTCAAGCTCGTCTTGCAGTTCTGGGACTGCCGGGCGCGCGGCTAGCATACGCCCATCTGAGCGCGCTGTCTCCCACTACGCGAGTGGCTACTCCGCGGCGGGCCTAGACGAGCATCTGCGCCCGGAGCTCCGCGGCCTTCTCGGGCCCGTAGAGCTGGTCCACGAGGTCCAGCGCGAAGGCGAGGGACGTGCCCGGACCGCGCGACGTCGTCACGTGGCCGTCGCGGACGACGTCGCCGTCCGCGACGGCGCCGAGCGCCGCGACGAAGGGCTCCGCCGGGTAGCACGTCGCGGAACGTTTGTCGAGCAGGCCCTTGGGCTGGAGCACGACCGCCGGGCTCGCGCAGACCGCCGCGAGCGGCGCGCCGCGCGCGTCCTGCGCGCGGAGGATCGCGTCGAGCGCCTCGCTGTCGCGCAGCCGCTCCGCGCCGGGCATGCCGCCCGGGCAGACGACGAGGTCCCAGTCCGTCGGCTCGAGCGCGTCGACCCGCGCGTCGGCGACGATCGTGAGGCCGCGGCTCATGACGCACGTCGTCCCGGCCTCGACGGAGGCGATGGTGACCTCGGCGCCGGCGCGCACGAGCGTGTCCGTGATGCAGGTCAATTCGATCTCCTCCGAGCCGTTCGCCACCGGGACGAGGACGCGCTTCGCCGCATTGGCGCTGAAGGCGCGCGTGCCGCGCGCCGCGCTCAACAGCAGGAGCCTGCGGATGTGCCGGACCATTGCTGTGTAGCGCAGAGCAGCAGAGATGGTCAGACGCTCAGCGTGGGACGTCTGGAGCAAAGACGAGAAAAAAAACAGCAGCGTGCAGGCATCATTGAACCTCGGCGCTTCTGCCCAGCCCCAATCCCTGGACGAGAGCTGCCCCGTCCCGTCCTGCGCCTGGCGCATCACCATGGACGCCTCCGCGCTGGAGCCGGCCCTGCGGGACGCCGTCACGGTGCGACGCGCCGCGCGGCGCGGCGCGAGACCCACCCCCGGCCGCAGGGCGCGTCCTTCAAAGCGACGACGACCACGGCCTACGGGCTCACGACGTCGCGGCGCGTGCTGACCTTCGAGGAGGGCGCCGAGGGCTTCGCGCTCGTCGTGAGCGGCCGCGACGGGAGCGAGAAGCAGCGGACGCCCGTCGCCGACGCGCGGCCCCGGCGCGGCGGCTCCGCGCGCCGCGCCGCGCGACCGGCCGCGCCCGCCGCAGATCTCCGCGGCGACGCGGCTCGCGGCGGACGCCCGCGTCGTCGAGGTCGCCGCGGGCGGCGACGCGTGCAAGTGGACCTTCGAGAGCGGCGCGCACCGCGAGCTCTTCGTCACGTGGCTCCGGGCGCGCCGCCCGCGCCCGCGGCCGGCCGCGCGTACGCGCCGCGTCCGCGCGGCGGACCGCCCCCCCGCGCCGCCGCCGCGCAGGTGCTCCGGGGCCCGCGGACGGAGCTGGACTGCGCCGCGGACCACGAGTACGCCGTGGACCGCGGCGTCGCCTTCCGCGTGGAGATGTGCAACTTCGTGGGCCAGTTCGTAGAGACGACGATCGTGCTCGACGTCGCGGCGCGCGCCGTGGACCTCGGCGAGGGCCGCGGCGTCTGCCCCCTCGACGGCGCCGCCTGCGGCGCGAGCCCGACGCACGGCCGGCGCCTCGACCTCACCTGGTCCAAGGCCGACGACCGGAAGACGCTCTTCGGGTCGCACGTCGACCGCCGCGCGGGAAACAAAAATATTCAACCCGACTTCAATGTGAGCGTATGCGACCGTTTTGACACAAGCACCTTCGCTGTGCTTCGAGAGCTCGACGAGAGCCATCGATCCGTCCAAAAAAGCAGCCGAATCTATGTGACCGAGCTCGAGCATTTCCAAGTTTCGTCGGGACGTCCCGAACCGGCGGTCGGTGTCCGCGCAGGTCGACCGCTGCGCGGTCTACTTCAAATCGGGCGTCGCGCGCGGCGCGTTCCTCGCGCGCTGCCGCGCCTGCGTCCTCGGCGTACCGCCGGGCGCGCCGCCGGCGCCGGGCGAGTCGCTGTCCGTGCTCTGCGGGGCAGCAAAAGAGAGCGAAATTCCCAACTTCAAAGGCTCATATCTCGGCCGTTTTCCACTCGCTTCGGCTGATTTTTGGACGAACGATCGTCTCTCGGAACGGTCTCGAAGCGTGGATGCTTTTTCTGGAACGCGCGCGCGCGGAACACTCACGTTGAAGCGACGTTGCATCTCTCTTTTGCTGCCCAGGTGCTCTGCGGCACGTGGAACGTCGGCGACAAGAAGCCGCCGAAGAACCTCGCGGACCTCGACGAGTGGCTGCCGCCGGGCGCGCACGACATCTACGCGATCGGCTTCCAGGAGAACTCGAACAAGAAGAAGTGGGTCGAGGCTTTGGAGCGCCACCTCGCCGGCGGCCGCGCGTTCGACGCGCTCGAGGCGCGGCTCGCCGCGCCGGCCGCCGGGCCCGCGGCGGCCTTCGCGCGGGACCGCGCGCTGGCCTGCCTCCAGGCGAAGCGCGCCAAGGGGTCCGGCGCCTACGCCCTCGTCGCGAGCTCGAGCCTCTGGGACATCCACGTGCTCGTCTTCGCGCGCCGCGACCTCAAGCGGCGGCTCTCGCGCGTCGCCGCGCGGAACTCAAATCTTCAACGCGACTTCAATTTGAGAGCATGCGACGGTTTTGACGCAAGGTTTTCTGTTGTCCACCCCGACCGGCGGTCGATTTCCACGCAGGCGCGTCGCCGCGCACACGGAGGCCACGGGCTTCGCGCACGTGCTCGGCAACAAGGGCGCCGCGGCCGTGGCCCTGTCCTTCGAGGGCGCCTGCCTCGGCGACGAGGGCATCGACGTCATGTTCGTCACGTCGCACCTCGCGGCGCGCGCGACGCGCGTCGCGGAGCGCCAGTCGAACGTCGAGGAGATCAACGGCGGGCTGCGGCGCCTCGCCGAGGCCGCGCACCCCTGCTACGACGCCCCGCGGGACCGCATGGACGCGCTGCACCAGTTCGACCACGTCTTCTGGTTCGGCGACCTCAACTACCGCGTCGACCGCGGCGCGCACGGCTCCGAGGCCGAGTTCGAAGCGACGCTCGGCGACGCCGAGGCGGGCCGCGTCGGCGACCTCGTCGCCTGCGACCAGCTCGCCGCCGAGCGGCTCGAGCGCGCCGCCGTCTTCGCGACGTTCGAGGAGGGCGCCATCGCGTTCCCGCCGACGTACCGCTTGGTCAAGGGCGCGCCGGCCTACTCGAACAAGAAGAACCAGAACCCGTCCTACTGCGACCGCGTGCTCTACAAGTCGAACGCGCCGCCGTCCTGCTGCTCCTGGGTCGACGGCGCGCCGCCCGGCGCGGGCCACCGCGCGGTCCAACGATCGTACGGCGCGTGCTTCTCGCCGGGCATGTCGAACAGCGACCACCGCGCCGTCGCGGCGGCCTTCGACGTGCCCGCGCGGCCGCCGCGGCTCTGCCGCGGCGCGCCGGGGGCGCTCGACGGCGCCTTCGTCGCGCTCGAGGACTGCGTCTTCTCCGTCGCGCCCGAGGTGAGCCCGCGCAAGTGCGAGACCTACGCCAAGTACGACGGCTACGCGGGCCCGCTCTGCCTCTCCCTGCGCGCGCCCTGGCTCCACCGCGGCGGCGACCGCGCGTCCTTCGGCGCGTCGTCCGCCGACGGCGACGACGCCGCGGCCGTCGCGGCTGCGTGCGCGAACCCGCGCGCCGCGAAGCCGACGCTCGACTTCAACGAGCGGCGCCTCAGGAAGCGCAAGGACACCCCGAGGGCGCCCGCCGACGACGTCTCCCTCGCGGCGTCGAGCCCCGACATGCCGCGCGGCGCCGCGCCGCGCATGCCCGCGCGCGACGGCGCCGCGGCGCCGGCGAGCCCCGCGGCGCCGGACCGGCGCGCGTCGCTCTCCGGCGGCGGGGAAAAAGGCGCGAAGAAGAAGAAGGACGTCGACCCGGGCCCGCGCCTCGGCTGCCTCGACCTCGCCTCCGCGGTCTGGAGCGACGACACGCCGACGTGGAAGTGGCCGCGGCACGCGACGCCGCCGCTCTTCAGCGCCGTCGCCGACGGCGACTGGCTCGCCGCGCAGCGCCTCGTCGTCGTCGTGCGCCGCGGCGGCGACGAGTCCGCGCCGCCCCTCGGCTTCGCGGAGATCCCGCTCGACCGCGCGCGCCGCGGCGCCGGCGCCGCGCCGCAAGCGGGCGCGGTCGCGAAGCAGCGGGGCTCGGTCGTCGCGGCGACGGACGGGCCGCCCGCGCCGTCCGTGGCGCCCTGGGACGGGCGCCACGCGGCCTACGGCGCGGACGTCTGGCGCGCCAACGCCGCGCGGCGGGACCGCGAGGCCGCGCGCGCCGACGACGTCGTCGACGTCGACGGCGCGGAGCCGTCGCCGCGGTCGCGCGCGTCGTCGGCGGCGCCGCGGGACGACGGCGCCGCCGCCCACCCGGAGGTGCTGGAGCCGCCCGCGAGCGAGCGGAGCCGCCTCTTCGACGCGCTCGTGGACGAGGACGGCGCCGCGGACGTGGGCGGCCTCGGCGGGTCCGCCGTCTTCTCCGCGCCCGTGACGCGCTACGGCAAGTGGGTCGGGACCCTCGCGGGGCGCCTCCGGCTCGGCGAGGTGCCGGACGTGCGCGACGTGCCCGCGCCGGGCCTCCTCGGCCACCTGCGCGCGTGGCAGCAGCTCGCGAGCGCCGGCGCGGCCGCGGCGACGGACGGCGCGCCGGCGGCGACGCTGGCCCGCGTCGAGGCGACGCGGGCCGTCGCGCGGCGCGCGACGGTGGACGAGGACTGCTTCGATCCGGACGCGCTCGACGACGCCGCCGACGCCGCGGCGGCGGAGGAGCGGCCCGACGACGAGCCGCGGCGGCGCGCGAGCTCCGCGTTCCTCGAGGGGCGCGAGACGCTCGCGGCGCCGCCCGCGGCCGTCGACGCCGCGCCCGTCGTCGTCGTCAAGCACGACGCGCCCGAGGCCGAGGACGAGCCGCTGGAGTTCGACGACGACGACGAGGAGGAGGACGGGGCGCCCGCGGCGGCGGCGGCGGCGGAGGCGCCGGCCGTCGCCGCGGAGGAGGCGCCGCGCGAGCCGGAGTACCGGCCGAGCCCGCGGCTCCACTCGCTCAACGCGGAGCGCGACCGCGCGCTCCGCCGCGACGTCAAGCGCTTCGTCGCGCTCTACCGCACGCCGAGGCTCGGCGACGCGACGCCCGCGGCGACGCGCGCGCAGCGCGCGGCGTCGGCCGCGGGCGAGTCCGAGTCCGACGGCGACTACTCGGACGACGACGACGCGAACGACGACGCGAGCGCGCGCTACGACGACGAGGTCGTCTACGTCGAGCGCGGCGTCGTCGTGCTGGAGCGCGCGGGCCGGCGCATCCCCCTCAAAGAGTTCCGCTGCGCGGCGACGGGGCGGCGCATCCGCGACGGCGTCGACTTCGCGCTCGGGCCCGACGGCCTGCCCCGGACGCGGGACGCGCACCTCGCCGCGTTCGGCCGGAAGCTCGAGGCCCGCACGCTGCAGCCCCTGCGGCGCGGCGACGCCTACGTCATCGCCTGCGGCCTCCGGTGGATGCCGGGCGACTTCCGCTGCGCGGCGACGGGCGCGCGGCTCGACCCGAGCTCGTTCTACGAGCACGAGGGCCGGGCCTACTGCGAGGAGGCCTACCGCGAGCTGCTCTTCACGTGCCACCGATGCAAGCGGGGCTGCGCCTTCGACGGGTCCGACGCCGTGCGCGCGCTCGGCGAGACGTGGCACGCGGCGTGCTACCGCTGCGACAACGGCGACTGCCCGAACGACGGGCGCCTCGAGGGCGGCGTCGCCTTCGGCAGGGACCAGAAGGACGGGCGGGGCGTCATGCCCTTCTGCGAGGACTGCTTCCGGGCGTCCTTCGCGCCGCGGTGCCCCGCGTGCGGCACCGGCGTCGTCGCGGGCCGCGACCGCTACGTCGACGCGTGCGGCGGCCGGTGGCACGCGGACCACTTCCGCTGCGCGGCGACGGGCGCGCCCCTCGAGGGCGAGGCCTACTTCGAGCGCGACGGGTTGCCCTACAGCCGACAAGCCTACCTCGACAAGTTCGGCGAGCGGTGCGCGGCGTCGGGCGAGGTCATCGAGGGCGACGTCGTCCGCGCGGGCGGCCGCGCGTGGAAGCCCGAGCACTTCCGCTGCCACGCGACGGGCGCGCGCATCGAGCCGGGCCCGGACGGGGCGCTCCAGTTCTTCTTCGGCGACGACGGCGAGGTCTACTCGCCGGCCGCGTACGAGGGCGCCGTCGCGGCGCGGTGCTTCCTCTGCGGCGGCGCCGTCGTCGGCGACGAGCGCGCGATCCCCGCGCCCGAGGCGCCGGCGCCGGACCTGGCGCCGCGGCTGCGCGTGGCGCCCGACGGCGCGCCCATGGTCTTCCACCCGGACTGCCTCCGCTGCGTCGCCTGCCGCACGCTGCTCGACGACGACGCGGAGCAGTGCTTTTTAGGGCCCGACGACGGCCTCCCCTACTGCGGCGCGTGCCACGGGGCGAGGTACGACCGGTGCTTCGAGACGGGCGAACCCCTGCCGCCGGACGCGCCGCGCTGCGTCGACGGCTACGGCCTGAGCTACACGGAGCTCGCGTACCGCGCCGCGTTCACGGACGAGTGGTGCCCCAAGTGCTGCACGCCCCTCGACGGCGACTGCGTCGCCTACGCGGGGCTGAGCTGGAAGGCCCCCTGCGCGGACAGCTTCCTCAAGAGCGGGGCCGCGGTGTCCGGCCTCGCGGCCCTCCGGGAGCGGCGCGCGGCCGCGATGGCGCGCGCGAAGGGCGACCACGCGCTCAAGCTCGAGGCGCGCCGGGCGGCGACGGCGACCATGCTCGAGGAGACGCGGGCCGTGGCCAAGGCGAAGCACGCCGAGTACGAGGGCGGCGCGGCGGAGCCCGAGCCCGCGGCGGCGCCCGCGCCCGCGCCCGCGGACGCCGAGGCCGACGACGACGACGACGACGACGAGGCGGAGCTCGTCGCGAGGACTCAGGCGCTCCTCGCCGCCGCCGCGGCGCCGGCGCCGCCCGCGGGGCCGCCGAAGGTCCAGCTTCCGCCGAAAGTGCAGCTCCCGCCCAAGGTCCAGCTCCCGCCCAAGGTCCTCGCGCCGAAACCGGCGCCCGAACCGGAGCCGGAGCCCGAGGTCGCGCCGCCGCCCGCACCGGAGCCCGAGCCCGAGGCTTCGCCGCCGCCCGAGCCCGAGCCCGAGCCCGAGGCCGCGCCGCCGCCGCCGCCGCCGCCGCCGCCGCCGCCGCCGGAGGCCGCGCCGCCGCCGCCGCCGCCGCCGCCGGAGGCCGCGCCGCCGCCGCCGCCGGTGCCCGTCGCCGTGGGGACGAGCGCGTCGGCCGCCGCGTCGCCGAGCCGGCCCGTGAAGATCTCGTCGAGCAAGCGGCGCACGAGCGAGGCGCAGGTCGCGCTGCTCGCGCGGTGCGCGTCGACCGGCGACGAGGTCACGTTCGAGGGGCCCATGCTCAAGCAGGGCGGGGGCACGTCCCTCTTCGGCCGCAAGAGCTGGAACGAGCGCTACTTCGTGCTCCGGGGCGGCCAGCTCGCCTACTACCGGGACCGCGCGGCCTTCCTCGGCGGCGCGCACCCGCTCAAGGGCACGGTCTTCGACGTCGCGAACTGCACGGTGTCGCTGACGTCGCGCGACGGCGAGCGCCGGCTCACGGTGAAGCCCGACCACTTCGCCGCGGGGCCCCACGAGCTGAGCCTGCTGCCGACGAAGCCCGACAGCCTCGGGTCCTTCGACGGCTGGGTCGACGTGCTCAACCCCATCAACCCCGAGAGCCCCCGCGTCACCTTCGCGCGCTAGGCCGCGAGGGCCGCGTCGAGGCGCGCGGCGTCGAGCGCGGGGCAGAGGGCGAGGAGGCCGGCGCGGGCGTCGGCGCCGGGCGTCGCGGCGACGGCCGCGGCGACCGCGACCGCGCGCTTCGCCGAGAGCCGCGCCGTCGGGCGCCCCGCGGCGACGGCGGCCCAGGCGTCGGCGACGGTCCTGCCCTCGTAGACGAGGGCGACCAGCGCGACGGCCGGCGCGCGGTCCTTGCCCTCGACGCCGCAGACGGCGACGGTGTGGTTTTGTTTTTGTAGCATTTGCACGGCCTCGGCCGCGGCACCGAGGTCCGCGTCCGCGTCCCGTTCCACGACGGTCTTGCCCTCGGCCCCCGCGAGGCCGAAGAGCTCCGGGGCGCAGAGCACGACGTGCGTCGCCGCCCGCGGCCAGCCCGCGGCCGCGGCGGCGTCGACGAGGCCCTCGGCGGCGGCGCGGCCGTAGCCGAGCCGCCGGAGCGCGTCCGCGTCCGCGAAGCCGGAGCTCGCGACGGCCGCGGCCGTGCAGTCGCCGACCCAGAGCGCGTCGCCCGCGGGGCCGCAGCGGCCGTCGAGGAGCTCCGCCGCCGTCGCCTTGGGCTCCATGAAGCACTCGCTCAGGTTCGCCGCCTTGACCCGGAGCCGCGTCCCCCGCTTCTTGCCGGGCCCCCGGAGCTCGACGGCGACGCGGTGGCCGCCGAGCGCGCCGGAGACGACGACGCCCGCGGCGCCGTTGAAGGCCGGCGCCTTCCGCAGGCCGTCGACCATGACTGCGGAGCCTAACCCTGGCAGGGGCACGAGCTCCTCCCGGCGCTGCTCCAGGGCTCGCATCTCGTCGCTCATGGCGACCTCGTGCGTGCCCCGCGTTTCCCACTCCGTGTTGTTCGTCATCTCCGCGTCGAGCTCGCGCGCGAGCGCGTCATGCTTCGCGTAGGACGACGCGAGGCTGGCCATATTCGTTGTGCAGCCCGGGCAGCCCGAGCCGGCCGTGAACGGCAATGTTGAGAGATCACCGGCCTGCGGCTCGAGCGGCGACCTGGTCTGCGCTACCGAACGCCGTCGCCACCGACGCCACCCGGGACGCCCCCCCGTTCCGAACGCATGGCGCCCGGCAGGGGCGCCCCGCTGCTCGTCCTCGTCGCGCTCGCGACGACCATATCGGTCGACGCCGCGCCGCGGGTCCTGCTCGAGGCGCCGCCGGTGCCGAAAGACGACGAGCTCGTGGTCTACGACGAGCCCGCGGAGCTCCCCGAGCTCGCCGGCGACGACGAGCCGCGGGACCTGCGGCGCCTCGTCGCGACGCGCGGCGCGCCGGACGCGCGCGCGTCCGCGGCGGACCGCGCCGTCACGGTGTGGGACAAGCACACGGAGCGGCTCCCGAGCAACTGGACCCACGACAGCGTGGCGGCGCTCGTCGGGAAGACGCCCTTCCTCAGCGCCGACGGCGACACGGTCTTCACGGGCCGCGTCGACTCGAACGTCGTCTCCGAGGCGGAGCTCTGCGATGAGAACGACGCTGTTGTGTGCACGCGGCAGCCCCGGTCCGACGCGCCCCTCTTTGGGCGCACGACCTGGACGCTCGAGGCCTCGGACGCCGCGAGCGGCGAGCTGCGCTGGCGCGCGACGACGTCCGCGGTCAGCGACCGCCGCGTCGGCGCGCCCGCCTTCGCGGACGCGGCGCCGCCGGCGGCGGCCGTGCCCCCGATCGTCCTGAACGGCGCCCGCGGCGTCGTGCCCGCGGCCCGGGGCCCGCCGGCGCTCGACGCCGTGGAAGCGCCATACACACACGAGCGGTCCGCGCTCATCGCCTGCGCGCTCGCGCTCGTGTCCTCCGACTCCACGGCGCTCGTCGCCGTCGCGTCGCGGCCGCCGGTGCTCGTGCCCCGGCCCGCGGGGGTGCCGGTCGCGGTGCTGGGCCTGCTGTGCCTGGGCCTCGCCTTTTTCGCGGGGCGGCGCGACGCGGGCGAGCGCGTGCCGCGCATCGTCGCCTCCGCGGCGCCGCGCGCTTCTACTCCGCCGCCGCCGCGCGCGGGGCCCGTGGTGCTGCGGAGCGCCGCCATGGCGCCGTCGGTAGCGCGCAACGAGCCGCGGGTCGACGGCTTCTTCGGCGCGAAGCGCGCGTCCGTCGTTTTGCGCCGCGTCGCGAACCGCGCGGACCTCGCGCGCGAGATCGGCGTCTTGCAGACGGCGGACCACGCGGCCATCGTGCGCTTCTACGCCTGCGACGTCGTCGGCGCCGAGGCGCGCGTGGCCCTCGAGGCCCACGCGTGCACCGTGGCGGAGCTCGTGGGCGCCGGGGGATTTCGCGGGGACATCCAGCGGCTCGGCGGCGAACCCGGCGGTCTTCTGGATTCGCTCCGGCGCGTCGCGGGGGCGCTCGCCTGGCTCCGGACCGCGCTGCCGACGGCCGAGGGCGACGCCAAGTGGCGCGCGACGCCCGACAGCGTCGCGCTCGTGCCGCGCGACGCCGGCGGCGCGCGCCGCGGCGCCGGGGAGAGCGACCTGGCCGTCGACGACGCGTTCCGGACGCACGACCTCAAGCTCGTGCCCCTCGACGCCTTCGAGGTCGCGCGGCGCGACGCGGCGACGACGGCGCGCCGCGACGTCTGGGACCTCGCGCGCCTCGCGAAGTTCGCGTGCTTCCGGGGCGTCGACGACGCCGCGGCGCGCGCCGTCGCGGACGCGTCGGACGACGCGCGGCTCGTCGAGGTCGGCGACATGCGCGCCGCGGGCGACTGCGCGTCGCCCGGCGCCTGGGCTCAGCACTGCGCCCTCTGGACCGACGCGCGGCGGTCCGACTTCCTGTGCGACCTGTCGGACTACGCCGAGGAGCGGCCTACAGACGCCGCGGCGCTGCGCGCGGCGCTCGACGGCGGCGGCGGTGCCGTGCTCGGCGCGGCGTCCTGGCTCGACGGGCTGGACCCGGCGCTGCGGCGCCGGCTCGAGAAGCGGCGGACCTACGACGGGTCGTCGGTGCTCGCGCTGCTCCGCGCGCTGCGGAACGGGCGCCACCACCGCCACGAGTTGGCCGCGGGGCCCGGCGACGGTGAGACGCTCGAGCGCCTCTCGCGCGCGTTCCCGCGCCTCGTGGCCCACTGCTTCCGCGCGGGCCACGCGGCGCTCGACGACGGCGCGCCACCGGACCTCGCGGCCGCGCTCGCCTACTTTGGGCCGCGGCCGCGGCGCCGCGCGCCGCCGCGGACGCTCCCGCCGGCGCCGCGCGCCGACGACCGGTGCCCGCCGGCGGCACCGCCGCGGGGCGGCGGCTACCGCACGCGCCTCTGCAAGCACTGGCTCGACAGCGGCGGGTCGCACTGCCCCATGAGCGCGCGCGGCCTCCCCTGCGCC